TAACACGGAGGTTGACGAACAAGAATTAGATAAAGAATTAAGGCTTCAATGGCCTGCTTTTGACATTCGAACAAAACGTGCCTACCTCTCGAATAAACTTGCCCTACTTCAGCTTCAGTCTACTTTCAGGGTAAGTTCGATTGTCTTTGATTTAGTGTTCTATGTTCTACTTAAATGAATGCATCCAACCCTGTATTAAGCCCTCCTCTACTGTATGACGGCCAACTGTATTTCCTTTGTTAACCCCCGCCTTCTGCACATTAACTCTTTTATGACGTAAGCACACAGTGTAATTCCTGTGAACAGTTGCAGATTTCTGTCTTTGCACGTATCAAAGGAGAACTATCCGTCAGAAAAACGTATTTACCATTTATTGACTTTTCCCGAATCACCACAGTTCTAATTTAAATTTTCTTCAGTGCGTATTACTGAGGAATCTTGAACAGTTATGTCGCTGTCTATCTAAAGGGCTTTCTCACATAATTATTTAGAAAAGCGGTTTGCCTTTTTTACTGAAGTCTAGTTTTGGATCAGTTCGGGCGAAAGTTGACCATAAAATTAGCTTTCAAAAGCCTCCAGATAGGTGACCATTTTCGAAGGCGTCCTTAAAGTGCCCTCATTGTAATCGTACACCTTTTTACGGTCAATGCTTTCATACCTAGGCATACTTGTCTGTTGAATACTTTTACCGCCATAGATTTCTTTTAAATTTTTGTTGTTTTGAAGAAGAATTTGTTAGACAGAATTTTCTGGTCTGATATATTCGACGTAAAATGCTGCAAAACGTTATTCACACGAGGTTTGCAAATTTCACTTCACACTCGATTATATGATTATTCCCAACTTTTTCAAACTCTGTCATTCGATCCCAGTTACTCATAATTATGAAAATTATCCAAATTCAAGCGATTGTCAGCTGCGCAGTTTTTAATCATCATATTGAGTGCTACAAACCGTGTATTTCACAATGTTTATATTTCAAGTATATTTTCTTATAACAGTGGACAGTAATTTTGAGTACTCTCAATCAAATGCGCATCAGCTTTTTCTCGATAATATGCCTTGTTAATTTTTTCGGTCTCGGATTTTTCGAGTATTTTCGCTTCATGTAGTGTTCAGACAAAGTTCTAAGGGCACTTCTATTAGTTGTAAGTACTAAGAAGTTACGTAAAACATTGATGAAATGAGTAAAAACGCAATATACAGCAGGACATCACTCATAAATGCCACCTATATATCATCCCTTCAACTGCGACTGGGCGAAGTACTTTATATGCTGACGACTGCTGTGTCCTTTTTGAGTGTCGAATTACACACTGCTTAGCGGGTGGGGAAGAGCTATACTAAAAGCGTACGACCGCGACGCTAATTTCAAAATAGAGTAAATTTTTTCTGTCTCTCTTTCTTACATCAGTTTCCTTATAATTCTCCACACTATGGTGCGCGATAGTAAATGTAAGTACCACTCACTCCCTGCGTCCGATACGCAAACCGGAGATACTGAAATCGCTTGTATGTCTTAGTGAACTTGGTCGGGCCAGGCGTTGAGCAGACCACTTCTCAACTTTCAGTAAAGGCGCGGCTCCGGATTTAGATCGGTAAGACCACCCCAACGCCTTATACCATGGATACTTCTGGATATGTTTCAGAGGTACTAATTACGACTGCAGACTGTTCCGTTTGAAGCGAAGTCTGTTTACTTCCCTCCAAGAATATTTCCTAGGCAATAGTTCTCAAGGCCCACCAATTTAGAGTCTTCTAATCACCAAGTATTTAATTCACCGTATCCCATAACTAAAACCGCTGTTCCAATAGCCTATTGGCTTCCTACACACCAGACCTGCATAGCATTACTCTCGCTCTGTTTTTTACGCTCAACCTCAAAATTATAACCGTAAATGATGACTAGCTGGACGAACGTCTGACACACGTTGGAATACAGAGACATCTACAAGACTTGGCGAAAACTCTAAACCGTAGCGACCCGGACAGCCGTGTCGTTTCTGCTGTGCCTTTTGTGCTATCTTGGTTTCGGGACGTCTTTAATTTTCCGCTACCCCTAAAGTAACCTCCATTTAATCAGAGGTGCAGTTCAAAACTAATTAAAGTTTCGAGTCGCTAGTGGATAAACTTCCTGATTTATCTGCCTTGGATACTGTAGGTGTTACCTTAAATCGGTTCAGAATTGAACCTACATCGAACTGCCTTGACGGATTTTTTTTCCTGAATTTTCACCATTTTGTAACTCCTCATTCTCAAGCGCTTTCTCTCACCAATTCATAGCCCACCTCATTTCTCATTTCTTTTTTGACTTCGTCACTCCGGAAAGACGCAACAATTTTGCTTTCACTATCCTTTCTTTCCTTTGAAACTGGCCGACATAGTGGCACTGTTAATGCCGCTTTTCCCTCTTACGACTGCGATCCCAATTCTTTCCCTGTCAAGTGCGTAGTCACTCATATTGAAAAAATATATATATACACGATGTCTGAGTCTCTTTTTTCTTCTCGGAATCGCTGGATACATGTGCAATCCTCGGGCTTGCTACATTTACGCTTTGTCCATTTCGTATTCGTAAGCACATTGAAACTCATCCCCTTGACTGGTTTTCTTAGTTTACTTTTTGCAATCTTTTCCCTCCGTGCATCGTTGACTTCAGTCGGCTGCCAGCAGTGAGCAGCAACAGCGCATGGAAACCCGCCATGCAGGCCGACATTCTAGCCAGACCTCAGTCGTGTCCACAGAGGATGGGAAAACCCCAAAACCCGCTGCCAAGGCCCGGGCGTCGTTG